TTTTCAGGTGTGCTTGCTGGAACAGACTATCTGTAAACAGTTAACTTCTGACACATTGTTAGTTCCCATTAACAGCAAAACAGTGGCCCCCCCTGAAGCTCAGTCAGGGCACAGAGGGCAGGAATATTCACAGGTTGTGAGCCTGAAACAGGCCTAGAGCACACAGGAGCTAATATATGGCTCTTCTTCCCCCCCCCCCTTACTGAGTTAGGGTAGAAATATTCCTTCACAGGCTATGGGCCTGTTCTAGAAAACAGAGGACGCAGGGGTTAATAGATAGCTTCTATTTTCTAGTTTTGTTTATTGGGGACAAATCAGTTTTTCTTTTTAGATCTGGGTAATTTTTCTAGTGTCCCCTCTTTCACAGAAAGAACACTCACCATTTGTTTTATCATGTTGGTAATTGATTCTTAATTTTGTGGTGTACACTATGTTTGTGGTATTCTTGGCAATTACTGGTTTTAGTCTGAGTGTGATGCTGGCCCATACCACTGGGATGACAGCACTCTCAGTCTCTGCAGAGATTTCTTCATGGTTCTCCTGTATAAAAACACAATTACTTCGACATAATTAGTATCACAAATTATAACTTTTATCTTCCCTTTGCGGAAATTGATTTTAACTTTTAATTTCTCAATAAACTCTCATTTAATGAAGAATTAGGCAACTTTAACATACAGAAGAATCAATGAATCACCCTATATTTACCCAGTTTAAAATCCAAAAGTTTAAAGAGTGGCACTTATTTCTGTAATTCTAATTACAGTTACGGCATTATAATTCAGTTTTTAAAGCATCACCTATTGCATATATTGCCCTGGCGGGTTTTAACTTTTGTGTTTGTTGGGAATGTACACTGATTTTGTCCCCCCCCCTTTTGATTTGGTGGGAGGGTACGGATTATGCAGGCTTGAGAGAGCTAGAGGGGGAGCGACAGCTCTGTCTCCGCCCCTAATGGTGGAGCCAGAGGGTCCCGTGTTAGGTTGGGTTGGGACTCCAGTTACAGAAGCCGCTTTAGGTTTTCCTGCGGTCTTTGTACCTTTAGCCGGTTTCGTGTTTGCAGTTGCTAAGGTGTTATGAGTAATTCCGTTTGTACTGGCCACAGCTAGGAAGTGATCTGCCCTTGTGCTGGTTGCGACCCCCGCTCCATCTGCAGGAGCGGCAGCAGCTCCTGTGCCAAACCCAGATTCTAACTGTCCCGCGGCTGGACTTACTTTCGTTGTACCGGTGGCTAACGTTGCCCCTGCACTCACAGAGCGGTGGCGGCATCTGTGACAGTCACGTGATTTCCCCCTTCCTCTCTTACATCTCGGGGTAGGCTGGACACTGGCCACTCTCGCCCTCGGTCCCGCTCCGCTTGTTATGGGAGCAGGCATCTTTATTGTTATTACAACTGTAAAGTCGTCAGGTGGTTTTAAAATTTCTACAACACTCCGACCCACTGCAGCTGCTTGCTGCATCACATCTTACTAACTCTGAATGCCATAAAATCCTCTGCAGCAGATGCTTTTTCGGAGGGTTATCAGGCTCACATGTAGCAGACGTCCCCGCTAAAGGTAACTTGATCCTTCTTGTGGAGCAAGCTCACTCCAAAAAACGAGCTGTCTGCTTTTATACAATCAACTGAGTACATCTGCCTAGGCAGGTGTGGCCAGCACCGCCCTGCCAGAGGTTCTCAGTCCCACCCCCTTGGTTATGCAAGTGCCTCACTTCAGCGCATGCATGAGTACTTTGGAATTTCCCTTCCACATGCGCAGTATGCTTCAGGGGTCTTTTCTATTTGAGTCGGTGTTATTGTCGCGGCGGTCGAAAATAAAGAAAAAGATGAACAGTCTAGTACCGAGCAAAGTACAAGTCTGTCTTTATTTTTCCCACGAGTCTTTTTATAACCCATGTTAGTAGCAAGCAGCAGTTTTAGAAGGTAAGCAAGTAACTGTATTTCAATTGGCTATTATTTGTTAGTGATACTTTTGGCAAAGTTCAAGTTTAAAATTGAGGTTCTCACAGGACCAAATCTAAGCACTCCACAGCTGTCTTCTTTTTGTTAGGGCTGCGTACATACCTCTCCTATCTCAAGGATGCACCTGTAAATTTCCCAGGTCAAAATCTTCTCCCAGAGAGCTAACGGACCCGCTGTCAACCCTGACAAGTCGGGGGTCGTTACTTCATCCCCTCCTCTTTGGTTTCTCCTTCAAATGTCCTTGGCAGACGATGAACCAATCACAGAACACCAATTAATATAGTTTATACAAGAAACTCTCTCTCCAAGGACGAAGTTACTGTTTTATCAGTGAACTTGGTAGGGAAAATATAAACTCTTACAGGTGGCTGGGCCAAACACAGACCAAAAGTATCAACATCCCTGATACGTTCCACCGCGTGGTCTGTGGTTGGACCATGACATTGGTGACCCACTTAAACAGACAACAAAAGTCCAGACAATAATATCTTGGTAATCATGTCCATCCCCAGTGAGGAGATCCAAGTGGGTTCCAGTGGTCAGTTACTGGGAGTTAACAGTACTTAGGATAATCGTTTCCCAGTTGGCAGACTTAGTTCTCAAGTTGGGACAGATGAACAGGTGTGTCCACTCTTATGGGCCCTGACAACACGATGAATATCAGGAATTTCTGCAAAATATAGTCTAGACTATTAGACAATTTTATAATTCGGATCCATCTTTTATAGTATGAAGTGGTTGACCACCAGTCACAAATTTATGGGCCTATTAGGAGCCACCACAGGCAATGTATGTCTGGAGTTTGATTCAACACCTGCCAACATCCTGGTCTCACCAATTGCTCCTACAGAAAGTTTGCACTCTCTGTACAGATTCTAGGCCTCATCAGGGGCAAGCCATCCTGCCATAGTTGGTCCCTGACTGCAGTCAAATTCCCTCCACCTCATGGAGTGATAGTGCAGGTATCTCTTGCCTCCATGCTATAAAAGACTTTTTATCCATCCCTAACCAGGGCATTCATTAAACCAAGGCACAAGCTAAACAAAGCACTTAACCAACCATCATGCTATAATGTTACCAGTTTATTACAAGATTGATGTGAGCCAGAGCCCATAGGGAGGTTCACGAACAGCATTCCTTCATTTGCAGTCATGCCAACCAGACTCTGTCTTGCTTTTCAACATGGGGTTTTTTCTTTTTTTTTTTTTTTGACCCAACACCTCACACCTTGTTACTTCACAATCACATATAATTCTCTTGGCTTTGTAAACCAAAAAAGGTCTCTTTCATATGCTGCAGCAATCAGAGAGGAGAGAGGGATATTCCAAACAATTCTTGCCACCTGTGAGAAAATACTGTGAGAAAACATATAAAATATAAGCACTGCAAAACAATCAGTGTAACAAAACTATACCAATGTCATTAAAAGGCAGTAGAAATATATATTACTCATCCAAGAATCAGAGGTCTTCTTAGTTTTGGAATAGTAAATCCATGGATCCATTAGGGCAAGAAACCTGCTAGGCAAAAAGAAAAACTAATCCATTTTACTATTCAAGATATGTGGCCTGCCTCGAATGGGCTAATGCAGGAGTAATCATGTCCGTGACTGTTGGACCATCCATGCGTGTTTGCTTAGCTACCTGAATGGGGAAAATAAAAAAAAATAGAGAAGAATGGGGAAAAGAGGTTATGAGCCAACACCCCCTCCCCCTGCTGTGTTTACTCCCACCGTCTCAGGTGTTGGGTTGGGACCCTTTTCAATTCTGTTTGACCCTCAATTGCGATCATCACTGCTTGAGAATCATCAGCTGCTACAATTTCGGCAGCAACAGGACTCTCATCCCCGGGGGCTTGGTTCCATACCCAACCACCTGCAAACCATTTTTGTACTATGGGCATTACAGGTAAACTGTATACATGGTAAACGTCAACCCATTCCATCGAGGGTACTGTAATTGGATGCTCTGTGGTATTTTTCAACCCTATTAATAGGGGTTTCATGGTATCCCCCTGCACAGGATTTAGCAGTGTCAGGTCCAGGCTAGAAAGTTCTGGTCATAACACCATATAGCGGAGGATATCTTCTTGCTGACCCACATAGGACAATGTAACATCCGTCCAGACCCACTGATCCTGGTTCGCCCCCAGTGACTGTGTTTGTGTGTTTATTACTACACAGCCGCCTTTTATAGACTTGACTATAAATATTGCGCCACTGATAACCGAAATAGAACTTCATGCCACCCATGTCAATTTTTCCTGGTCCCCTTTCATTAAAATTAACAGGGTTAAGGTAAGTGACATCATACGATTGTTTAACACCCGAACAGCTTCATCAAGATTGTCCACCCATTTCTTATAAGACCCGTCCCCTAGTCTATGAAGTTGCAGTTCAGGAGCCCATTCATGCATTCTACTAGTCCTGCCCCCTGCGGATGATATGGCAAATGCCATGTCCACATAATTCCACGATCTTCAGCCCATTTTGCAACAACTTGATTTTTAAAATGCGTCCCATTATCAGATTGCATCTCTAGGGGTGTTCCATAGTAGAGTTCAATTGTACTCATGAATCTTATGGTAGTGTGACTATTAGCATACCGACTGGTTATGGCTACCACGAGGCTAGAATAGGTATCTGCAGCAATACAAATATATCGTTGCCTGCGATGTTCAGGTAAAGGGCCAATGAAATCAATTTGCCATATTTCCCCACCGTGTGACCCTCGCTTAAGATGCCCTAGCGGTTGTGAGAGCATTTTGCGCTCCCTCAGAAATTGGCAAACTGTACACTCACTGAGAACTTGTTGAATTACTGCTTGGGGTATAAGAACCCCCCGGGCTCTCGCCCAAGCAATCGTTGCATCTCATCCTGCATGCCCAGACTTATCATGTGCCCATAAGGCTAGAGCGTGATCCTCGGGACTGGCCACGACTACTTTCTGTGCTCTGGCTAGGTGGTCAACATGAGCATTCCACTTTGCTGTTTCGGTCTCATGTTCTGTGTGTGCATCTACATGGAAGACACGAACATCACGATCTTGCAGAGCATTCCAGATTCATTCCCAAAACTCTTTACCCCACACATCCTTCGTTCCTATTTTCCACGTATCGCGCTGCCATTTTCCTAGCCAATTCACCAGCCCTTGGGCCACAGCCCAAGAGTCAGTATAGATGTAACAAATTTGACTGCACGATGTAGCATCTATTGCTTGCCATACGGCAGCTAGTTCAGCTAACTGACTGCTCCCCTGAGTTCCTTCTAGCACTAGTCGCGTTTGGGTAACAGGATTAAAAGCCACAGCTCGCCACTTTCCAGTCCCTGTCCCACTGCCATCTGTGAACCATCTGTTTTTGTTCTGGTGTCAATTGCTCATAGGGCAGTCCCCAGCGCTCTACTTTGGTAATTTATCATATCAGTCCCGGTGGTGTCGGGAATACCTTGTATCCCCTGGCTTACTACTTCACGTAGGTGCAGGACTCCCTTTGGTCCTGGTTTGGCTCTCTCCTGCAGGTACCATTTCATTTTCATAATAGTAGCTTCCTGAGCATGCCCTATTTTGTGAGTTGCTGTGGGCCCCAGTGCCCATGTTACAATGGGCACATCTGAACGTAGGATGACTTCATGTCCCACGGTTCTACCCTCGATATCCAACAATGCCCAATATGCAGTCAACAGTGCTTTTTCGAATGCTGTATATCGCACTTTGGCTCCAGTCAGCCAACGGGACCAAAAGCCAAGCGGCCATTGCTGTCCCTTCTGTAACTGCCAGAGACTCCACAGGGCTACGTCTGCCTCTATTGTAACTTGTAATTCAACGGGTCCGTCCTCCAAGGGATGTAACTTGCACTGCTGATTTTGTTTTCTGAAACACTTGCTCTTGTTCTGGACCCCATTCCCATTGACTTCTTTTTCATGTTACTTTGTGCAGAGGCTTGAGTAGTACTGCCAATCCTGGTAAATAGGCTCGCCAAAACCCCACGGCTCCGACAAATTGTTGGACCTGTTTCTTTGTCTCTGGTCTGGGCCAATTCACTATAGCCTCCCTTACCTTATCTGGTATTTGCTGTTTCCCCCGTTCCATAGGATACTTAAATATTTCACACTTTGTGCAGGTCCCTGTACTTTCTTTGGATTGATTTCCCAACCGTCCTGAGTCAAGATGTTTATAACAGTATCTAAACTCTTCTGTGTCTGCTCAAAGGTTTGTCCATAAGTCAGTATATCATCAATATACTGAGTAATCTGCACCTCTTTAGGTACCATAACCTTTTTCAGGGTTCTATGGATAGCCTGATGACAAAAGGTCGGGCTATGTTTATAACCTTGAGGCAGACGAGTGAAAGTATATTGATTTCCATTCCAGGTAAAGGCGGACTGGTCCTGCCCTTCACTAGGTATGGGAATAGCAAAAAACACATTAGCCACATCTATTGCAGCGTACCATTCTCCTGGATGCTGTTGTATACGTTGCACTAAGGTAGTAACCTCAGAAACAGCTGATGTTATTGGTGGAGTAACTTGATTCACTCCCCTGTAGTCCACAGTCATTCGCCAACTACCATCTGGTTTCTTCACTGGCCAAATTGGACTATTAAATGGAGAATGTGCAAAACGCAAAACCTGAACCTCTAAAAGGTCATCAATAGTTTGCTGGATAGCTTCATCCCCACCGGATATGCAATATTTTTTAATGTTTACTACTTGTGTGGCAACAGGTATTTCTGCAATTTCTTGCACGCATCTTTAGCGAGAAGATGCAAAAAAGGAGCTCCAGAGTCAGACACTTCCTCATGGAGGTATAGTCAGTGCTCCAACTTTCCAGAGTCAATGACACACCCTCATAGAGGTAAAGTCAATGCTCCAGTTATCCAGAGTCAAAGACACAGCCTCATAGAGGTAAAGTCAATGCTCCGTTTATTGCAAAAATCACACACAGGTCCTACAGGGTTCACACGCTCTATCCTAACTCTCTATTGGTTGCATCAGTTTTCACACACTATAGCTATAACTTTATTGGCTCTACTAGCCAAGGCACATTTCCAGGCCCCCCATCTTCTGGTTTCTCACACCCTGGATAACATCCTCCTTCCTTGTTTTCCTCTATGCAGCTTTCTGATATCTGCTGCTCAAGGACACACATCTGCTGCTGGAGAACGCAGGTCCCTGCCGTCCGGCACGCAGGCCAGATTGTGCAAGCAGACCTGAAGCAATATATGTCCTGCATCATCTAACATTCTCTCAACAATTCCCCCTTTTTCTTTTGCACAATCCAGGCCTGATTGATGGTCTTTCGCACCATATCCATAAGACACTTCAAGATACACGGTACAATTATCAAAATAACGCAAATCAATTGAACGTTATCATTACAATCTGGCCCTAGTTGATGCATATTTCGCTTGGTTCGACTCTTTGTTCCATGTGGTTCTTGAAAACTTTTATTTTGCAAATGAAACTTCATTTAACTCAGGGTTATGTGTCTCCCACTCTTTATCCAAAGGTGCTTATGCATATGTGAGGTAATATGGTTTACGCATTTGTGAGTAAAATCAGAATATATTAATAATCATATATTCATACATTCACATGCATACATTCACACAACTTTCATGCGTGATGGCCATCACTTCATGCTCTCACTCAAACATACTTCTAAGTTGTATATCACTGTGTTTTCTGGTTGTGAACTGAGAAATTATCATTCTCGTGTTTTGCCCTCAGATGAGTATGTATTTCTTGTTTTTATGAAAGTATAACTTGGAAAACATAAACATATTTCTGCTTCACGTTCAATTCAAAACCCAAATACATACAAACATTCTTATAATTTAAAGATAAATATATACTCCTATTTTTAAAGCAAAACACGCACTTCTCAATGCAACTGGGCTTTTGGACTTCAAAGAGAACTTGTCAGTAGTCACTACAAAAACTTCAAAAGCTCCACTTCTGCACCACATTTAAAACAATTCTGGCTATTTAGGCAAGCAACCTCAAGAAAGAGTCAGCAAGACCATCTCATGAACTTATCTTTTCTCACTCCCTCCCCCTTTTTTTTTTTTTTTTGTACTGAAGTTAAACTGTTAGGTTAGTTGTTGCATGAATAAAAAGCTTAGCTTTGTTGACTTTGAGCTTAGTGTCCCGTGTAAGGACAGGTCTTTATATGATTTGCCTGTGGTGTGCTGTATCTCGGGGATCTGTCTTAACATCATCTTCTTTTTCACTGTTTCTGTCAAATGTTTTTGGAGAGTTGTCAACTAATAGCAAAATACCAATTAATCTCAAGTTATACAAGATGGTTGTTTCAGGGACGAAGTTCCCGTCTATCAGTGCTTGCATCATCCAATGAAGCACAAATACATTCCCACCGCATGGTCTGTGGTTGGACCATGCCATTGTTGAACAAGTTAAGCAGCATATTGATGAAAAACAAGGAAAACAACATAGAATATCTACAACAAAGGACTAATAGGAAAAGGGTAGACAATAATATCTTTGTAACCATATCCATCTTTAGTGAAGGGATCGGAATAGGCTCTAGTTGTTCCTGCTTCATTGGGTCAGCCAGGGTCACTTGCATGCTATGCCGTGGTTGTAGGTAATCATAATCTCTGTGCAGTCAGCATACAGGGGGTCAGCATCCTACTGTTGAATGTAGACGTAATCTCCAAGTTGGAATAGATGAACCAAGATCTGCACCTGCGGCAACTCCACCTGGGCCCGCGCCCCAGGCTTCGAGGCTCACCGCAGCGGTCCTCCTACTCGTCGCGGCCTAGCCTACTCCAGATTCGGGGATCTGAACCTGACTCCCTTTCGATCGGCTGAGGGCAACGGAGGCCATCGCCCGCCCTTTCGGAACGGCACTCGCCTATCACTTAGGACCGACTGCAGTGGATGTAGTCTATCTGGACTTCAGCAAAGCCTTTGACACCATCTCCCATAATATACTCCTAAAAAAACTGGCAGCCCATGGCTTGGACAGGGGCACTCTGTGCTGGGTTAGGAACAGGTTGGAGGGCCGGGCCCAGAGAGTGCTGGTGAATGGTGCTGCATCCAGTTGGTGGTCGGTCACCAGTGGTGTCCCCCAGGGATCAGTGTTGGGCCCAGTTCTGTTTAATATCTTTATCGATGATTTAGATGAGGGGATTGAGTCCATCATTAGTAAATTCGCAGACGACACCAAGTTGGGAGGGAGTGTCGACCTGCTGGAAGGCAGGAGGGCTCTGCAGAGGGACCTGGATAGGCTGGAGAGTTGGGCTGGTTCCAATGGGATGAGGTTCAACAAGGCCAAGTGCCGGGTCCTGCACTTTGGCCACAACAACCCCCTGCAGCGCTACAGGCTGGGCACAGAGTGGCTGGAGAGCAACCAGGCAGAAAGGGACCTGGGAGTGCTGATTGACAGGAGGCTGAACGTGAGCCAGCAGTGTGCCCAGGTGGTCAAGAAGGCCAATGGCATCCTGGCCTGTATCAGGAACAGTGTGGCCAGCAGGACCAGGGAAGTGATTCTGCCCCTGTACTCAGCACTGGTGAGGCCTCACCTGGAGTACTGTGTCCAGTTCTGGGCCCCTCAGTTCAAGAAAGATGTTGAGGTGCTGGAGCAGGTGCAGAGAAGGGCAAAGAGGTTGGTGAAGGGACTGGAACACAAGTCCTATGAGGAGAGGCTGAGGGAGTTGAGGTTGTTTAGCCTTGAGAAGAGAAGGCTCAGGGGAGACCTCATCGCTCTCTACAACTACCTGAGAGGAGGTTGTAGGCAGGTGGGCATTGGTCTCTTCTCCCAGGCAATCAGCAGTAGGACAAGAGGGCATGGCCTTAAGCTGCGCCAGGGGAGGTTTAGGTTATATATTAGAAAGAAATTCTTTACAGAGAGGCTAATCAGCCATTGGAATGGGCTGTCCAGGGAAGTGGAGGTTTTTAAGATGAGGCTGGACGTGGCACTTAGTGCCATGGTCTAGCAACTGTGATGGTAGTGGATCAAGGGTTGGACTTGATGATCTCAGAGGTACTTTCCAACCTGTCTGATTCTATGATTCTATGATTCTATGATTCTATGATTCTATGAACAGGAGTGTTTAATCTCACGGGTTCGGAGTATGGAATGAATCTGTGGAATTTCTGCAAAGTAGAGCCTAGACTATTAAACAATTTTCACAAAAGAATTTCAAATTTCAGAATTTTTGTAACTTGACCGTACGAGAGGAATATAGCATTCAAACAACAGAAACCATCATGCTATGAAGTTAGCAGTCTATCAAAAGATTGCAGGCGTGATGCGAGCTAGGGCCTATGGGGGGAGAAGGGGGGGGGTCCAAAAAACATCAACCTTTCAATTACAGCTTTGCTAACTAGTCACTGTCTTGCTTTCTAACACAGGGTTCTTTTTCTGTGAGGTTCAGCACTTCATGCATTGTTATTTATAATCTTGTGTGGAGTTGTAAATTAAAAGATTTATATGTTGCAGCAGTCAGAGAGGAGAGAGAGAGATTTTAAACAATTCTTGCCACTTGCTATAAAACTCCTGGGATAAAGCATATGCAAACAATATCAACTTCCATGAGAGACAATAGAAATATAATATCAGTAACTGTAGTATTGTCTGGTAATTTGACAGTATTATTCAAACTATACTAGCAATCCATTCTTTTAAAGTTTTTCCGGTTCGGATATTATGAAGTAAATTCACTGAAGATATCTCTAAAGTCAGTGAGAGATCTTCAAAAGTCAGTTGATATAGAATTTGGAGTTTGTTTTCAAATTCCAGCTAAATTCATAATACAAATTTAATCATATTATGACTTTCTATATTGGAGTCAAAATGTAAGTTTTAATCCTAACTCTGATTCTTGCTTACCAGCAATACAACATAGAACAATAAGTTAAAATACATTGTTGGTATACCAATCTAAGAAGCAAAAACCTTCTTAGCTCTGGTAATATTTATTAGGGCAAGAGACCTGCTACATAAGAAAGAAAAAAAAACCAATGTATTTTGTTCTTTAAGATACATGGCCTGCACTGAATGACCAATGCATGGCTGTGGTTGTTGTCCTGATTAATAGAAAAAATGGAAAAAAGCAACTAGTTTCCTTAATTTACTGTATTCTGCATCATCTTCCCAGCTTCTGGTCAAGCTCGCTGGAGTCACAGGTTGGCTCCTCTATTCATAGAATTACTAATGACAGATTGAGAATGAATACATTTTTATTTGTGACTCTTTTCATTAATTTTAATATTATTTCTAACTTTTTTTTTTTTAAAAATCTCTACTGTGGTATGTGACTGAGGTTTCAGTTTACAGTGTTTCACTTCTCCTCCCCCTATCCTGTAGGCAGAGAGATTCAAAGCGAGACAGGAGAGGTTTTTTAGATTTTTTGCCCTCCCTCCCACAAACTGTAAGGCAAAAATATTTCTTTCCCCAATCAGAAGATTGCAAAGTTGCAGCCTCTATAAAGCAGGAGGGTTCTACACCCCCTCCCTGTCCCGAGAAACTGGTAATGTAAATTTTTATTTTTTTTTTTTTTTTAAGTTTGGCCAAAGGAGGTGTAAGCCTCCCACTCAGTTGCTCGGCAACAAACTATCTCTATTGTGTGAGCCACTAACACCTTATCTCTTTCTCTGCTAAGGTAAAGGCAAAGTTTTGCAAGAGGGCTTTTTACCCTTTTTGTCAAAACCCTAGTTTGTTGGGTTTTTTTGTTTTTTTGGTTTTTTTTTTGAATACGATATTTTTGCAGAAGGGTTTTGTAGGGGTAAAATACAGCTAAGAATAAGGCATTTCACTAAGATTTTCGTACAAATACTCATTTCCCGGAAAAACTTGTTCGTTTTAAATACCTATTCCCCAAGAGTAACAGAAAAAGGAAAGATGGCTATTTTGGTTTTCTCTCTCACTGCAGCCCCTGCCGTTGTTCCCGCTCGCTCTCCCCCCCTACCCTCGCGGGGGGGGAAGGGAGAGAGAACCCGCTAAAGTTGTTTAGTGTCTGTTCTCGCTGCTGCAGTCCCCACCAACCCTCGCGCCGGCCCTGCAGCGCCCGAGCCGCCTCTCCGCCGCGGCTGCCGGCACCAGTGGCAGTTTGAATAATCTCAAAAGGAAATTCCTATGCTCCTGTGTCATCTGAGACACCTCTCCTGGACCCTCATCCCTGTGTTTTAACAGTTACTAACAAACCCATGGTCGCTTCTCCACACACACGCACAACCCCCAACACACACACACACACACTAGTACGGCATAGTTAGCCACACCGTGAGCCCACAACGACACACTGGACAGACAACAGAGTCAACATGAGAGTTAACAGAAACATGGGAAAGCAGCTGTCTAGCCTGCTCCCCTTCTCAACAAGAAGTGATACTTTTCTGGGGTTGCTCCATCCCTGTTTCCCTCTGGGGCCGCTCCTGGTTTTTTCTTGCACCGCTATTGCTGGGCTGCTCTCCTGCCGACTCTTGGGCGCTCCTGCTTTACCCCCGCGGCGCTGCCTCGCTCTGCTTGCTCTGCTACGCCGTGAGGGTTGTAATAAATTAGTAGTAGTGTTATCGGTAAAAGAGAGCAAACTCTTTTAAAGTTTGTATAAAAGTTTTATTTAAGGCAAATGAGCAAAACAGAGCTGGACGGACAGGGGTCCCCTGCCCCACCAACGGTCCGTGAGTTCAATAAGTTTCAGTTTTTCTTTTATAGGTTTGTAGCTCCCGGGTCCCCTCCTGGTTTTTTTTTTTCTTTGTTACCAGTTCATTCTGCGCATGCTCTGTTCTTGTTGCTAGGGGTCCTCTCTTCCCTGTTTCTTGTCTTTCTTATCAGCTCTTCCTGGCGTCTTCTTCTTATCAGGTCTGGCTGCCTCCTTCCTCTTATCAGATTGTGTCTGCTTTGACTGTTTTTGTTGTTAGGGGCCCTATCTTCCCTGTTTTATGTCTTCCTTGACAGACTCTGCTGTGGTTGCTAGGGAAATCTCTTTCTACATAGATATCTAAGATCTAGGGGTAACATAATAGAATATAGTCCGTCATGATAACATAACATTACAGTTTGCAATTACAGTATTACAAATGTAATTTGATAGGCAAATTATCTCTTTTTGTCTTTATTGACTATCACAGTAGTAAAGTAATTTACTCATCAAATTAGTAGTAGTAATTTACTCATTAAATTGTATTGCATGTTATATTCCTATATATATATGTTATTGTAATCAATGTCCTGTTAAGGCTGGGAGACTTTAAGTTGCAGAATGGTTAATTAATCTGTCAACATTATAAGCTGATAGTCCTGCAGCTTGCAGTTCTTAAGCTGACAAGACGAATTATTGTGCCTTGCTGAATAAGTATTCTGTATCTTGTTTTTCTAAAAGTATATTATCTAAAAGTGTACGCATAAAGTAATGAAGGGAAGGACAAGGATCAAAGGGTCAAGTACGAGGACGTTAAAGAGAATCCAGGATGAACATCTGGAGATACCTACACACTAGGCCTCAAGGACGAAGGACTAATTAAAACTATAGATAGGAAAAGCACCTGGCAACTGAAGTGGGCCTGCAAAAGAACCAACCAGACTCAGACCTGCGAACTCAGATCCAATAGAGGGATAACAAGTGACTGTGGGAAGGGAATTGATAAGGGTATAAAATTTACTGGTTTTGCCCACTGCGTTCGCATGCCGTGAGTGGAGCAGGGGTCTCCCCAGCCACCCAGCGCGCTGTTTTGCTTATTTGCATTTTATATAAATCTTCAATAAATTTTTACTGCTATATTTCAACCTAGTTTCATTTACTTATAACAATTTTTGGTGCCATGACTCGGACCAGAGTTCCTGGGCAGTAGGACTCGCCTCTGGGGCGGGCACCCCGTCCCTTTTGGATGGTCCTCGAGGGAGTCCTGCAGCACAGACTCTGAGATTCCGACCAAAAAGATTTAGAAAAAGCAAATAAGCAAATAAATTACTGCAGTTCCCTGTAATCTTTGTGCACAAGTCCGGACGAAGACTCACTCAGGAGAGAAGTGAGTAATAAACCCTCTTCAGTCGGGAAGGGGTCCGTTCGGCAGGGGTTCGAACGGGGACTTACTCCAGGGGAGAGTGTCTTACTCCAGGAGAGAGTAAGAGTATCGGGTACCGTCCGGTCGGGGAAGGGACCGTTCAGCGAGGAATTGGACGAAGACTTACCCAGGAGAGGTAAGTATTTGCGAGCCCCCTTTTCGATTAGGACGGGGTCCCGGAGTGTAAACGGCTGAGACGTCCAGTGGGACGAAGTGAGTGGGACCTCCTATTAGTGCAGTTCTCGTACCCCGAGAGGGGGCGAGTCGCAAACGGAGGGAAGAGAGTGAAGTGAGTGTGTGTGTGTGTGAAGGCATTCCGGAAGATGGGGCAGAAGAAAAGTAAATCTTCTGCTCCCATGGGTGGCTGTAAATTAGTGCAGGACAGCCCTAAGAGTGAGGAAAAACCCAAGGAGAAGGGTGGAATGAGGGGTCATAAGGAGAAGTTGCAGGATACCCCACAGGAGAGGAGAAAACTTGAGAATGAGTCCGTGGTAAGGTTACCAACCATACCCCCAGACAGTCCTTTAGGAGTTATGATCAGGTATTGGAATGATTATCCCTCTAGAGAAGGGAAGTTGAGAGAAAAGATGGTGCATTATTGTATGGAGGTATGGGGGGGGGGCAGCAAATAAGACAGGATCATTTGTATAGGCCAGTATATGGTTCATTTGAGGGCTGGATATGTCAGGCTTTAAATCTGTATGTGAATAACAAAGAGTTGTTTTGTGCAGAAGAAAGCGAGTATGCTAGTTTATGGATCAAATCAGATACTAGAAATTACTTGTTTCCTTTAAAGGAAACGAAAAAGCAAAAAAAGAATAATTGGGATCTGGAGGATTTTCAAAGATACCCTCCACCATATATCCCGCCCCCTCCACCACCTGCACCCATTCTAGCACCGGCACTTCAACCCTCTGCCCCAACAGAACCAGAACCCCCACTATCTGAGAACTCTTCACCTCCCTCACCTACTGGTAGCAGGAGAGTGACGAGAAGCCAAACCAGGGAAAAACAAAAGGTGGAAAGTCAGTTATATCCTTTAAGAGAGATTGCAATGGGAGGACAAGATGCTGGGTTAGGATTTGTGTCTGTTCCTTTAAGTTCAGGGGATGTGAGAGAATTCAAAAAGGAGATGGGGAAATTGTTAGAAGACCCCATAGGAGTATCCGAAAGATTTGACCAGTTTCTAGGGTCGAATATTTACACATGGGAAGAAATGCAAGCAATTTTGGGAATATTATTTACAGTGGAAGAACGAGGTATGATTAGAACGACAGGAATGAGACACTTGGACCAGAGACACCAGCAGGGTCTGGCTGTCGATACTAAGTGGCCTCTTCGGAGGCCAAACTGGGATAACCAGGATCCGGTTCATAGAGCTCACATGACTAATTTAAGAACTATTATAGCCCAGGGTCTAACGGAAGCAGTCCCTAGAGGACAGAATATAGATAAAGCCTTTAAAGAATATCAGAAAAAAGATGAATCACCTACGGACTGGTTGGAAAGATTAAGAAAAAGCTTTCAACTTTATTCTGGCTTGGATCCAATGGATGACGTGATGGGGGGAGCTATGCTTAAGATGCAGTTTGTGCAGGGATCGTGGGAGGATATTCGGAGGAAGTTAGAAAAGAGTGACAACTGGCAGGTTAAGGGCTTGGATGAGTTGTTAAGAGAAGCTCAGAGAGTGTATGTACGTAGAGACGAAGAAAAAGAGGAAGAAAGACAAAGGAAAGAAAAAGAAATGCAGAAAAGACAGGAGGAGAGACAGGAGGAATTACAGAAAAGACAGGAAGAAATGCAAAAGAGGCAGGTGGAAATGCAAAAGAGGCAGACGAAGATTTTGACGACAGCTATACGAGAAGGACAGAGGGGAAATAGAGACCAGAGACAAAGGATTCCTCGTGGATCTGATAGACGTGAATTGTCAAGAGAACGTGATCGACCAAACCTAAGTGAATTAGAGTGTTATTATTGTGGGCAAAAAGGACATATAAAAAGAAACTGCAGAAAAAGACTGCGGGATGAGCAGATTTTTAAAGAAGATTGAAGGTGTCAGGGGCTCTATCTGCTGGGGACCCAAAAGAACACCGAGCCCTTGATAAAACTTAAAATAGGTCCCCAGTAACAAGAACTCGAGTTCCTAGTGGACTCGGGGGCAGAAAGATCTACTGTCCGAAAACTACCTTGGGGCTGTATGACCTCCTCTGACACAGTCCAAGTGATAGGAGCTAAAGGAGAACCTTTTGAAGTACCCCTCATTAAAAATGTGGAAATAGAAGCCCAAAATAAATATGCGTTAGGAACATTTTTGCTAGTCCCTGAGTCTGAATATAATTTATTAGGGAGAGATTTGATAATAGAGTTGGGAATAAATTTAGAATTAAAAGAGCAGAAAATACAAGTTAAAATATATTCCCTTACAGCGGAAGATGAAAAAAGAATAAATCCTGAAGTGTGGTATACCCCTGATTCTGTGGGAAAATTAGATATAAAACCATTTGAAGTCTCTATTCGAAATCCAGGGGAACCAATAAGGGTAAAGCAATATCCTATTCCTCATGAAGGAAGAGTTGGACTTAAGCCCACTATAGAACGACTCCTAATGCAGGGATTGCTGGAACCATGTATGTCACCACGTAATACACCTATCTTGCCAGTAAAGAAACCTGATGGGTCTTATCGATTGGTGCAAGATTTAAGAGAAGTGAACAAACGGACAATTACTCGGTTCCCAGTAGTGGCCAATCCCTATACTTTATTAAATCAACTATCCCCTGAACACAAATGGTATAGCGTTATTGATCTGAAAGATGCCTTTTGGGCCTGCCCTCTTAAAGAGGACAGTAGAGATTATTTTGCTTTTGAATGGGAAGACCCTGACTCTCATAGAAAGCAGCAGCTTAGGTGGACTGTTCTGCCTCAGGGATTTACAGAGTCCCCTAACTTATTTGGACAAGCTATAGAGCAGTTACTAGAATCTTTTGAACCCCGCCAGGGTACTGTTTTAATCCAATACGTAGATGACTTGTTAGTGGCTGGAGAGAAGTCAGAACCTGTCAGAGACGAAAGCATTCGACTCCTGAATTTTCTAAGTTTAAAAGGCTTGAAAGTGTCAAAGTCTAAGTTGCAATTTACGGAGGAGGAAGTGTAGTATTTAGGACACTGGCTAAGTAAAGGACACAAGAGATTAGACCCCGATCGCGTAAATGGAATTTTGTCATTACCTATGCCCAAAACTAAAAGACAAATTAGGCAACTCTTGGGCTTATTCGGGTACTGCCGACAATGGATTGAAAATTACAGTAGTAAGGTTAAATTTTTATATGAAAAATTGGCAAAAGACGAGTTGGTAAAGTGGAGTGACAAAGACAAGGAACAATTAGAAAAGTTAAAGGAGGATTTGGTGAATGCACCTGTGCTGAGTTTGCCAGACAATCAGAAACCTTTTTATCTATTTGTAAATACTGAGAATGGTACGACCTATGGAGTCTTAACTCAGACGTGGGCCGGACAGAGAAAACCAGTTGGATATTATTCTAAATTATTAGACCCAGTAAGTAGAGGATGACCAACCTGTCTGCAAGCCATAGTTGCTACAGCTTTGTTAGTTGAGGAAGCTATAAAAGTGACCTTTGGAGGAGAATTAAAAGTTTTCACCCCTCACAACATAAGGGGAGTGCTGCAGCAGAGAACTGAGAAATGGCTGACAGATAGTCGGTTGCTAAAGTATGAAAACATCTTGTTACACTCACCCAAACTGGAGTTAGAAGTGACAAATCTACAAAACCCAACCCATTTCCTATATGGGGAGCCCAAAGGAGACCTGGTACATGATTGCCTACAAGTAATAAATCTTCAGACAAAAATTAGGGAAGATTTAGAGGAAGAGGAGTTGAGTGAAGGAGAGAAATTATACGTCGATGGTTCGTCTAGAGTGGTTAATGGAAATCGAAAGTCAGGGTACGCAGTAATAGACGGAGTGACTTTTCAAGTCCGGGAGTCCGGACCCTTAGATAAGGTTTGGTCTGCTCAGGCTTGTGAATTATATGCGCTGTTGAGAGCATTACAGCTATTAGACGGAAAGGCAGGCACTATATTTACAGATTCTAAGTATGCATACGGGGTAGTCCATACTTTCGGCAAGATATGGGAGGAAAGAGGACTGATTAGTACACAAGGTAAGGGACTTATTCATGAAACTCTAATTCGAGAAATTTTAAAAGCTCTGAGAAAACCAAAGCAGATTGTGATTGTGTATGTTAAGGGACACCAAAGGGGACTGAAGGTTACTGTTAGAGGAAATAATTTAGCAGATGGGGAAGCAAAGAGGGCAGCTTTATTAGTGATGGCCAGTTCAGAACAGGAGGACATAGATGTCCCGAAAAGTTTCAGTGAACGGGAAAAGGAGAAACTATGACAATCCAGAGCAAAAGAAGAAAACAATAAATGGCTATTACCAGACGGTCGTGAAGTACTTCCAAAAGGTCTTGCTCAGAAAATAATGAGAAAACTGCATGAGCAGACACGCTGGGGAACACAGGCTTTAGTAGATCAATTTGAAAACAAATTTACCTGTGTGGGAGCTAATGGAAGAGCAAAAAGAATTCTTGAAGGGTGTTTAACTTGTCAAAAAGTAAATAAAAGACAATTGAGAGAATGGGTACAAGGAGGGCGAGAAATAGCTAAAAGACCTTTTGAGAAAGTACAGAGAGATTTTACTGAGCTACCTAAAGTAGGAAGGTATCACCACCTACTGGTGTTAGTGGATCATCTCACCCACTTTGTAGAAGCTTTTCCTGGAGCACGATGTACGGTCAAAACTGCGATTAAGATCTTATTAGAAGAAATTATTCCAAGGTACGGTGCTGTGGCAGTGGTGGATTCGGATAGGGGACCACACTTTACCTCTAAAATAATCAAAGAGACAACAGAGTTTTTTGGAACCAAGTGGGAATATCATACTCCTTGGCATCCACAAAGTTCTGGTAAAGTGGAAAGAATGAACGGGGAAATAAAGAAACAATTGACTAAATAAATGATGGAAACTAAAATGAATTGGGTAAAGTGTTTGCCATTGACCTTATTATATATCTGAATCCAACCACGCACTGACACGGGAATTTCACCATTTGAAATGATATATGGAATGCCATATGATTTTGGAATCCCGATAGAGAATCCAAAAGTAGAAGATACCCTCTTGAGGGAATATATAATTGAGTTAATGAAAAGAAGACAGGAATTGAGGAAGAAAGGATTAGTAACTCAGAGACCCCCGTTGGATATGACAATACACAAAATTCAACCTGGAGACAGAGTGTTAATTAAGACGTGGAAAGAGTCCTCATTAAGCCCTCGCTGGGAAGGACCTTTTGTTGTTCTTCTCTCTACAGATACAACCATTTGTACCACTGAAAGAGGATGGACTCACGCATCTCGTGTTAAAGGACCAGTCAGCACTCCTGAATGGACTGTAACCTCTCAACCTGGGAATCTCCAAATGACGTTCAGAAAAGCAGGAGTGGTAAATGAATCACTTTGAACGGGACATAAGACCCAGTCTATACTCCTGGTTTGGAGTACCTCCAGACCTAACCTTAATAAAATTTTGGCATAGCCATTGGCTGAGCGGACCAATCCCTTACCAGACCGGGGGAAGTGGATTGTATCAAATTGCTGAAAAAGGGAAAACTTTTCCTTTTTGTTGTGAACTTGAAACTGAAATTACTTAGCCAGAAAGACCTGTACGGAAAATACCCTGTATAAAACACCCAGGCTCAGGACACCAGGGTTGGGTCAGTAGTAAATGTATATTATGTGGTATAGAGTGGTATTGTGTAGCAAGTAGACGGAATACCCATTGTATGAATTGTCGAGACTTCTTTATTGCTTCTGATGAGCAACTGGGTGTTTTGGAAATTGATAAGTTATTCTGCGGATGGGAATGGTTGGTACCAGAGAACTGGGAAGTCTATAAAAAGGATTGGTACAAAACTTTAGAACAGTGTGCCATTAAATTTGCCTGGAAAACAAATTTAACAACCAACCAACTTTTAGAAATACTAGAAAAGCATATGAAACAAACAGGTCTTGAGAAATAAAGGAAAAGACTGGAAAGTTATAAGAATCTATCAAAAACCCATACTCTCCTGAGGAATATTGACTGCTGCCGAGAAGATATTGAAAACCTCGTTGCTCCCTGCAAAGGAGTAGTGGAAGGAGGCAGAGCAATAATACGGTGGAGAACAGATATGGGAAATTATATATGGATTGTAGTATTTTTGTGGCAGCTTCCCCAAAGCAGGGAAAGTCCACATCAGCCATACAATTGGACCTTGACCAGATGGAGTGATCTAAAAATAATTAATCTTACAGCAGGACCTCCCAGCTTCTCTGCTACACTGTGTCAAATAGCACCCTTATCACGTTGTTCAAATTTGAAACCTTATTATCTTTGTCCCGCATCTAATCCAGGAAAGGGGTATTGTAACTATCCTGATCAGTATTATTGTGCATACTGGGATTGTGCCACTATTGCTTCTGCCTGGACCCCTACTTCTCGAGAAAAGTATCTAGCAACGACATGGGGACCACCCAGCTGCAAACCTTCACAAGTTGTTTTGTCTGGGGGATTTAGGAGGGATAGCAATTGTGGTTATATAACCCTCCAGGTAATGCAACCAGAGGACCCAGGATGCTTAATAGGAAAAACTTGGGGAATCAGATACTGGGAACCTGGAACAAACAGGGGAGGGTTGATAACAATAAAAAAACAAGAAATAACTCAACGCCCTCTGGCAATAGGACCCAATAAAATCGTAAAAAAGAAAGCGGATAACTTAAACCAGAAGGAGAATAGGAAAAGAAAGACTTTCACAGCCTCAACTGTCCCGACTGATAATTTTAATAACTCTAGTGTAACCTTAACCTACACCGAGGTATATGAGAAAGCAGAACCATTATTAAGATTAATGCGAGCGGTCTATGATACACTTAACTACACAGACTCTAACATGACTAATTCCTGTTGGTTGTGTTATGATATCAAACCTCCATTTTATGAAAGGATAGCTTTGAACACGTCATTTAAAATATCCAGTCAGGGCAACCCTACACAATGTAATTGGGAAGAGAAAAAGATGGGAATCACTCTCCAGCAGGCGAGAGGAGAGGGAGTGTGCATAGGAAATGTACCTCCAACTAAAAAGGACTTATGCAGCTATACCATAAGGAAACTTGATAGAACAAAGAAGTGGGTTATACCTGGTGAGGAAGGATGGTGGATATGCTCAAAGACTGGTGTAACTCCCTGCTTGTCTTTACAAATATTTAATGAAAGTAAAGAATTTTGTGTACAGATAACGGTAATACCCTGAATCCTTTACCATTCGAAGGAATCGATTTTTGACCATTGAGATGATAATAAACACAGAATACAAAAAAGGGAACCACTTACTGCCATAACTATTGCCATGCTCCTTAGTCTGGGAACAGTGGGGGCAGCGACAGGAATTGCATCTCTTGTTGAACAAAATAAAGGGATATCATCTCTAAGAGCTGCAGTAGATGAAGATTTGGCAAGAATTGAAAAATCCATCTCATATCTTGAGAAATCCCTTAATTCCCTCTCTGAAGTAGTTTTACAAAACAGGAGGGGATTGGATTTGTTGTATTTACAAAAGGGAGGACTCTGTGTGGCATTAGGGGAGGAATGCTGTTTTTATACCAGTCATTCAGGAATCATCCGAGATTCTGTGGCTGAATTACATAATGGACTTGAGCAAAGGAAAAAAGAAAGGGAAGCACAACAAAGTTGGTTTGAATCTTGGTATAAACAATTCCCTTGGCTAACAACTTCACTGACTACCCTAGCAGGGTCCTTAATAAAGCTACTAGCCGCGTTAACCTTTGGCCCATGTATTCTTAATAAAGTAACAAAATTCGTCAGAGACAGGGTTGAAAACATACAGCTCATGACTATAAAACAAAATTATGAGAATATGAGTGGCAATACAAAAAAGGAGGAGCAGGCTGACAATACGGAGCTTAACACTGCAAAGCAGTATTATGAAAATATGAGCTGTGGCATAAAGAGAGAGCAGTCTTCTCTGTTGAGAGCAACCAAAGAAGCTGTAGAAAGATTTGATGAGCAAATTTATGAATAAATAAAAAGGGGGGAATTGTAATAAATTAGTAGTAGTAAAGTAATTTACTCATCAAATTAGTAGTAGTAATTTACTCATTAAATTGTATTGCATGTTATATTCCTATATATATATGTTATTGTAATCAATGTCCTGTTAAGGCTGGGAGACTGTAAGTTGCAGAATGGTTAATTAATCTGTCAACATTATAAGCTGATAGTCCTGCAGCTTGCAGTTCTTAAACTGACAAGACGAATTATTGTGCCTTGCTGAATAAGTATTCTGTATCTTGTTTTTCTAAAAGTATATTATCTAAAAGTGTACGCATAAAGTAATGAAGGGAAGGACAAGGATCAAAGGGTCAAGTACGAGGACGTTAAAGAGAATCCAGGATGAACATCTGGAGATACCTACACACTAGGCCTCAAGGATGAAGGACTAATTAAAACTATAGATAGGAAAAGCACCTGGCAACTGAAATGGGCCTGCAAAAGAACCAACCAGACTCAGACCTGCGAACTCAGATCCAATAGAGGGATAACAAGTGACTGTGGGAAGGGAATTGATAAGGGTATAAAATTTACTGGTTTTGCCCACTGCGTTCGCATGCCGTGAGTGGAGCAGGGGTCTCCCCAGCCGCCCAGCGCGCTGTTTTGCTTATTTGCATTTTATATAAATCTTCAATAAATTTTTACTGCTATATTTCAACCTAGTTTCATTTACTTATAACAAGGGTCTTCCGGCCATAGCGGGTCTCTGGTGTTCGTCTGGACCATAACTCTGCACGGGGTGGCGGCAGCCACGGTTCGAATTCACACGGTTCGGTCGGGGCAGTGTGTGCCAGGCCGCGACGCACTCCCCCCTTTCAGCAGGATGACTGCACGGTCGAGAAGTTTCATAGTAACAGCGAGGGTAGTCAAGTCTCAAAGTCTATCTCCCAAACCCCGCCATTCCTCAAAGGCGAAAAGGAGAGGGGGTGCTTTTAAAAAAGCCGTTTTCATGGACCCAAGCAACAAGCTTGTCGAACACCTTTTCGGTCACTGCTTCACCTCGCTTAGCGAGTATATCTAAAAGCAGTTTTTTAGCTGCAGCAAATTCTGATTCCATGCTTACAGCAAAATGACAGGGGGAAGGTAGCTACCCTTCCTACCTCGGTCCATGCCGATTGGTCCCGAAATCCGAACTCCTCTGTCCCGCTCCGTTCAGCCTCTCACGTCTCCGTCCACATCTCACCGCCAAGGAGATCAATCGGCTATCCACATTCTTCTGCCTTTCCGCGTTTCTTATCACCCTTCGGGTGCCAGATTTAGCGAGAAGATGCAAAAAAGGAGCTCCAGAGTCAAAGACACTTCCTCATGGAGGTATAGTCAGTGCTTCAACTTTCCAGAGTCAAAGACACAGCCTCATAGAGGTAAAGTCAATGCTCCATTTATTGCAAAAATCACACACAGTATATAGGGTCCTACAGGGTTCACATGCTCTATCCTAACTCTCTATTGGTTACATCAGTTTTCACACACTATAGCTATAACTTTATTGGTTCTACTAGCCAAGGCACATTTCCAGGCCCCCCCATCTTCTGGTTTCTCACACCCTGGATAACATCCTCCTTCCTTGTTTTCCTCTATGCAGCTTTCTGATATCTGCTGCTCAAGGACATACATCTGCTGCTGGAGAACGCAGGTCCCTGCCGTCCGGCACGCAGGCCGGATTGTGCAAGCAGGCCTGAAGCAGTATATGTCCTGCATCATCTAAGATTCTCTCAACACGCATCCAACCTGAACTGTCTGGACATTTAACCACCGCGTGGTACCAAATGCCCATACGTGCTGACCTATAGTCAGTGTTCCCCTTTAATAGATCTATGCCAATTATATATTCACCTATTGCAGCTATCATAACCTGACATACCCGAGGTTGCCAATCACCTACTTGTAATTTTATTTTTGTCTGAACGCTTTGGACTGGATGTTCCCCAAGCCCCCATACCGACAACAAGTCCCCTCTTATGCTTAGTAGGATTTCCATGTAAAATTGTGACCTCTGCCCCAGTGTCCACTAAAGCCCCCACCTGATGTAAATTGGTGGGCCCCCACCAAATGATACAAGTGACAAAGGGGCAGGGGTCATGCCAAGTTACACTGATATCTGGACCTGGGACTTGACCACTTCCCTATTCCACTTTGGGGTGGAACTTAGCAAGGGTCTTATCTAGATCTTTCCAAGAATGCTTTGGTTCCATTGCTTCTAAAGCAGGAACTGAACACACTCCAGCTTCCGCCTGGGTTACACTGCGAACTTGGTCTCCCCTCTTCCCAGTTTGCATCATTTTCTGTAGTGCGCTCAGGGGCATGCCATCAATTTCGGAGTTTGGGATCCCACGTTGAAGCAGAAGCTTGAACAGACAGGAGCGTTCTCCCAGCTCCCCTTTGTCCCCTGCTGGTACTTCTTTCGGAGGCTTAGTGCCTCCTCATGTCTCAGATTGTTATGGGCACCCCGGTAGCCCTGGTAAATCCCCTAACTGTCCCAACTTTTCTATCACTTCCCGAGTAGGATTACCTTGAGCTGTCATCAGAATGGGTATGAGATATGGTTTCCATTGTGATGGGCACCCCTCAAGTAATACATTTCATGTACCTGGTGTGAATGGTTGGTCCAGGTAAGTTCCTGGAATAATGAATTGTACGGCAAGTTTCATCCCCTCCTGCTTGAGTAGGAGGATAGCTTGCTGTAATGTGACCCATTGGTTAGATGTAGGAGGTCATGCTCCATCATTCGTGTGCCTATCACTGAATCCAGTGGCGATTACTGATACCAGTGAGGTGTTCTGACCCATGGGAACACGGCGCAATGCAGCATGGACATACGGATCCCCGTCAATCCTACGAAACGCAGGGAATCTACTCCACCAATTAAAACACTATCCGTTCCCTCTTCCATTAGCCGCACTAGCCATTGTTGGGGTTTCTCCCCTGGGCGTTGGCTGTA